GACGCTCTTAAAGAAGAAAAGATACAGAGAGGAGGAGCAAATGGAAAATCGCGCGACTCGTATATGTACGTAGACATCTGTAATATCCGTACATATATATGTACATGCATATATATATATATATATATAGATGCATAAATAAAACATGCAACCATTTTAAAAGGTTTTGTGTGCTTCGAGCCACAAAATTTTGTAGCTGCTATTTGCCATGTACGAATGAATGCATTTTAAGCATTGTAATTAACCTCACAAGGTCTTAAAGGTTGAAGACGTTAACAGTGGCGAATGCATTCGCACGTACAGGCAGCCATTCGTGCACCCACACACACATACACGTGTAGCCAGAGAGACAGACGCACGGACCCATAGAGCGCGCGCACGCGTGCACATACACTCGTCCATTCTTGAGATAAACATAAAAGGACCGTCGCTAGCTTGGCTCCACGTCCTTTCTACTTGTATGTACATTTTGTATATAGCTTCTAACGTCTTAGGTACATACCATCATATTTTTCTACGTGCCCCCCACTCGCCCTCCATCCTTCTCTGTACCCTCCAGTGACGAAACGAAAGGGTACGATAGCAAGGTGAAATACAAAATGATGATTAAAAATGAAAAAAAATTCAACAAAAAAAAAAATGGATAACGCAAGTTATTCATAAGTAGAAATGAGATGAACATAACAATGTATAAGAAGCCCTTGTAAATATTATATCGAATCGTAATGCCACACATACACACACGCGCGCGCGCGCACACACAAAACACGCGTCGTATATGTCGCTAGATCAGAATAAAAAGCAACAAATGCAGCGGCGAACGAATCTATTATAAATAATAAATAAATAAAAACGATTGGAAAAAGTACATTGGTGTGCAAAAAAGTTTATTAATTTTCCCGCCGATATCCTTGCATGAGAAATTCGAGATGGAGCTACAAACGTTGCTGTAAGAAGCCGAGGTCAATTCCATTACCCGCCTCGCTTGTGTTTGTGAAATCTTACGCGCCCCAAGAGCTCGAGGTAAGTAAGTATGTATGTGATATAATCTGATTAAATTGTTAATAAGCCGAGACATTTTCTGCGTAAGCGAGGTCGATGAATAGCACCCGAGAATGTGGCTGAAGGGTACGAAGAAAACAGGCAAGGAAATAAAGAAAAGAATCAAATTATACGGTGAATATTTCATGAATGTACATCTTGTACTACACTTGACATGCGACTCTACATTGATTTATGTTGATAACCGGCGAGAAAAGCCTTTTCTTTTGTATCTTTCATGATTTTGGTCATAACTTTGGCGACTTATATAGTCAATTAATAATAATGAAAATGTCAATTATATCCTTCACTAAATAACTCGACAATGAATATTCGAACTCATTCTTCACATAAAGCCGTTTAAGTAACAAAGAAGACAATTAGTGCATTTTGATGCTTGCTATCAGCTACTTTTCAACGAAGAACTTCAATTTCAATTAACACAACGCTTAAACTTTGCATTATTTTTACTCTCGTATATCCATATGTATATTGTTTTTTTGCCGCAATAATATATATTTGACTTTTATTATGAAAATATAAGATCTTTTTATAATCACATATATTGATAAAAGGATAATAGTAAAGAGTTTTATTTTCCCAAACAAATATAAGCTTAAAATATGATTTAGAAAGTTTAATGTTTTGAAGGCAATGAATGCGTTAAATTCTTTAGACATTGTGATAATTAAATTACCAGTAAAATTAATACATTAATAAACTGAAATTAAATTTTGACATTAAATTCTAAATAGACTATATTCAATTTAGAATGATTAATGTTTGATTAAACTATTATTATTTTACGGTTTGTAAATGAATATTCATCATAAATAACACTTTCTATACCTATTTAATTCTTACCAAATGTATTTGAATTTAAAAAAATTAAAAAATCCAGCCTTTTAATTTATTAACAAGAACAATAAAATTACTGTAATCTATTTATCTAATTACTCGCATTACAAATTTAACAAGAAATAAATTTTTTTGAAATATTGTAGCAGGCAAGGTAGTTCAGAAAAACTAATAAATGTAGAATAAATGTTCTTTTTAATTTATGTGTTCAACAAAGTTGACTTAATTTACGTGTTTCACAATGTTAACGAGGTCATTTTATATAATAGCAAGAGTTAAATGAGATGCACATGAAGTTCCAGTAGGAAGCTGACATTATATGTATAAGATTCTTTCCATTTTTTTTTATTGCATAATTGTAAATTAATTTCAAACCAAGTAGATAATCAATTTTTATACTCTTGATAAATGTATATTAATTATAACATCGGTTTAGGTCTATTTAATTCAATTTTTTATCATATAAAATAATAACTTTTTATTTATTTGCCATATTCTTATCGGTTATTATTTCGATTATTTCGTATAACAACCGATTATATTCAGTATGCTAGATCAAATTTTTACTCAGTTATAATTCAAATGAATATAACATTGTTTGAAAAAGTGCTTATTTAAAAAGAATCAAATATTACGTATCTTTTTATAATTATTATTGGCTTATATGTGTCGTTCAATGGCTTACGTGCTCACGAAGAAAATAATAACTACATTTTCTCAGTGCTCTTAATCGATTGACATAATTTCTTAATGTTTAAATTTAATTTATCTTTCGTTCCTACGCGTCTGAAAAAAAAACATGAGTTAGATAATACATCGATTTCAAGATGTAATACGTGTCGGCATCACGCGCATGTTATGACGTGAAGCATATTATGTCATCCGTTGTCAGCGATTAATCGTATATGCACTTTCCGACACAATTAACTAAGATTCGATATCCCACTTAAGCACACGAGAGTCGAAACAGACTGTAGCTAATTTTTTTTTAATATTATTTTGGTAAAACTCTGCTTTTTAAATGACGTAGAATTTCCCTACTCTAATGAGCAAACGCCAACACCTAGCACCAAGTACATCGATGTTAAAATAAACGTTAGATGGATTTCGTTCACGAACATTTTGGGTGAGACTAACTCTATGCTGAATAAGAATCGTTGCAACAAAATTAATGTTTTTTTTATGCGATCCGCGTATCCTTTTTCCTTTTTTGCTTTATTGGATGAATGATAGCTTATAACCTGGTGCAATTAGTGATGCCGCGTTTTTCGTTAAGCGATCAATAGCGAGTTCATAGGCGGTAGAACGTCGTATATATGCGATAAATGCCAACGGTCGATGATTCGCGCTGTATTCGCTAACTTTATTATTTTCCCTCGGTTTCCGGTCGCGCGCAACGCTCAAGCAATATTCGCCTGAATAAAGCCGAGAATGGTTATGAGATAGACAAAATGTTCGAAAAGTAACCGAGAAAAGGTGTTGAATTCCACCTGCTAAGATTATGGTAATTCGAGGAAATTTGGTAAATAAGATAATTAATACGCAACCCACCTTAAATTGACCTTAAATTTTTATTTTAAATTTATATTTAAAGCTAATTTTGTCATTAATAATAGTGCTGTTTTCAATTATCGTGAACTCATTATATATAAACTATTTCGATCTATAATAAAATGTAGTAGGAACATTTTGCAAAGAGAATGTATCAAAAATATTATGATCGCTAGTCCTAAAACGACATTTTAAGCAATATTAAAATTTATTCCATATATTGATTTCCGCTTTACTAGTAATTAAAATTGTCTAATCATCGGCTAATTGGCGTTAAAGGGCGAATCGAGCATTATTTGATTAAAGGAGAAATTCAACCTATTATTTAATATAAAAAAATTTAGTAATGATACTATGAATAAAATTCATTCGCTTCATACATACTGTGAATTCATTGGTTAAAAAATCTGTTATATTGAAATACCTTCATTTTAATTTGCTGCTGCTAACTTTAAATGAAAAAAAAAGAAGTATCTATAAAATTTTACTACATTATTATGATTAGATTTTTTTACAAATATTTACTACATAATGAACGAATGCGTATCAATGGAAATTACAAATATAATTTTTATCTAAATAATTATTAATTATCTGTATCTATTGTTGGAAAATCTTATTATAGATATGATATTATAGATAGATATAGATATAATTTACAACTAAATATATATCATATTTAATAAAATGCCTTGATATACTCGAAGTTGGAATGCTTATTATAATAATTAATAAAGATCAAAGGAATAAAGTTCATTTATGTTTAAGAACAAGGGTCATGAGTATAAATAATACAATCCTTCCACACCTTAAATAATTTAAATTACGTACAATTAATAAAATAACGATTAAAGTTTCAAAGGAATATTGCCTCTGTATGAGCCGTAAATGTCCGTTTGATATATTATACTCATTAAAAAGATAGTAAAGCTGATGATCAACGCTATAAAAATATTGTACTTTTGAAAAGGTGGCTGATCATGTAAAATGAAATATTATTGATACATGACGCTATTATAAGGTTGTAAAATAATTATGACTTATCTCATAATTGAATCCTCGTGTTTATATTCTTCAATAATTGCAGCGAGCTAAAACATAATAAATACGCCAACTTTTTTTTTTGTTTTTTTT